TTACCAAGCATGACATCCTTCTCCAGGGAATGGTCCCTTCTGACAACATGACCAAAGTAGGTGAGATGAAGTCTGACCATTCTCACTTCCAAGGAGCATTCCCACTTCTTCCAGAACAGATCTGTTAGTTCTTCTGGCAGTCCATGGTACTTTCATTCTTTGCCAACACCACAACTCAAAAGCATCAACTATTCTTCAGTCTTCCTTATTCATTGTCCAGCTCTCATATGCATATGAGACAAGTGAAAACACCATGGCTTGGGTTAGGCTCACCTTAGTCCTCAAAGAGACATCTTTGCTCTTCAGCACTTTAACGAGGTCTTTTGCAGCATATTCGCCCATTGTCTGATTTCCTGACTGCTGCTTCCATTGCTGTTGACTGTAGAACTAAGTAATATGAAGTCTGTGACAACTTCAATCTTTTCTCCATTCATCACTCATTGGACCAGTTGTGAGGATTTTAATTTTCTTTATGTTGAGGTGTAATCCATACTGCAGACTGTAGTCTTCAATTTTCATCAGTAAGTGCTCCAAGTCATCCTCACTTTCAGCAAGCAAAGTTGTGTCATCTGCGTATCTCAGGTTATTAATGATTTTCTGCCAATCCTGATGCCATGCTCTTCTTCATATAGTCCAGCTTCTTGGATTATTTGCTCAGCATACAGATTGAATAAGTATGGAGAAAGGATACAACCCTGACACACTCCTTTCCTGATTTTAAACCATGCAGTATTATCTCCTTGTTTTGTTCAAACAACAGCCTCCTGGTCTATGTACAGGTTTGTCATGAGTACAATGAAGTGTTCTGAAATTCCCAGTCTTCTGCCCCCTTTTAGCTCTCTATATGCAGACATTTTTACAGCACATACAAATATGTATTTAAAAATATCACCTGCTAGACATCAAGCTCAATTGGCATAACATACTATACAAAACACTATTCCACTTCCTACTTTGGCGAGTAGTGACTAGGATCTTAAAAGCTAGCAAGCTGCCATCTAGATGCAACGATGGGTCTCT